AGCATATTTTTATTAAACAATATTTTGTTTTATTTGTATTTATTTTAAGACCTATCTTTTCAGTTTCCTTGTTTGTTTATTTGATCTCATTTTAATTCTTTTGATTCTTTGAAATCAAACTAACATTATTACATATGAGAGAGTCATATGTAACAATGTTAAAGTAACAAGGATGAATCAGATTAGAATGAACATTTAAATTGGGATAGTAAAGGTGACAGACGTGGCTGGGAAAATTCAGGAGACAAGATTGAGATAGTTCAGGCACATTATGAGGAAAAAAGACAACTATATGTAAAGGAAGAGTATGGCAGTGGAAATTGATGGAAAACAGAGAAGAAGACTATCAGAGAAAAGAGATTGAAGGAAAAATAAATAAGACATAGTTTGGAGGAAGGTTGTTAAAACCAGCAATGCCATATTAAAAATATATTAAGCTAAGTGAAGAGGTCTTTACAATCAAAATAATGTCATCTTCAAATTGAATTTATTTAGATAAATCTCATCTATAGTTATTTTATTATAAATTCTTGGTAAACACTTATGTGGCTGCATATGCAGCAATAGAAAACCACTCATGATTGTACCTGTGTTAAAATATGGATGGTGCAAAGAACCCCGAAAGGACAAAAAAACAAAATACAGGAAAATACAGGATTTATTCGTGGACAAAAATTTTACACAAGCGCCCACTATAATTTTATGGGGTAAGTGAAATTGAGTACACCGAATCGCTACTCGACCTCACTCGCGTACAACGGGAGACAAAAGCCTTATGCACGTGGTGTTACAATCGAATGAAGGTTCGCGACAATAGAGTACAACTACCAACTTAATTACTATGGTTAGAACTACCTTACGAACTAAGATTAAACTATGGAAGGATGATAGTAAGCACAGATAGGAAGCCAAAGTCGTCCTCAAGGATTAACACTGTGACCAAGAATCCAGAATTCAACCCGTGACAAAGATCGTGCCTTTTTAAAGATATCATCCCCAATTCCGTGCCGTCACATCGTAGTGCTCCTATTAACGGACAAGACCCGGAATCATTCTATCGAACATTCCATCGGCGTCAACAGTGTCATTTGACCACAGATCTTCGACCCAAAAGAAAAATATTTATCAATCCGCAATTCGTTTGTAAACTCTGTCTCTCGAACGGCTTAGTATCATTAGGGTAAACTTTAGGCATGCCCGATATCGAATATATCTGTATTTTCTTTAGTACTTATTAAAATTGTTATTTATTTGTTACTATGGAGTCCGAGTGAGTCACTTCCTCGTCTCTCTCCTCACCTCTACTCCGAATTTAACCGCTCACCCGCTACCGCTCGCGTGACGTAAAGTCGCGATTTCAGAGTCCTGCGAGACTCGGTGGTGTCACATCCGAACGTGGTGTCAAAGAGACACCGACCCTACGGTCACACTAAGTACTATATCTAGATGCGGTCGCATTGGCCTGGGTCACTCCGTATCAACGTATCAAGACTGTTTCCGGGCTAATACTGTGAAAATATCGCTGTAGATAAAATTAGTAGATAGATCGACTTCGGATTCGAGTTGCTTATTCTGCGGTTGATGAAAGGGTATCCGTTTAAAATAATGAGCCTGTATCTCAAATGAATACGATGGGTTTATACTCGGAACTTGCAAAGCATTGGCCTCGATCTCCATTTCGACTAGACATGGCAGAGGTACGTCATTTCCTCTGTACCGTTGGGATGGCAGTGGTCAAGGTCTTAGATTTATAAGGTTGCCTCATACAGCCGATTTAGCCACTTCCTGCCAGATTCCGGATATACGTCATCCGTAGTCGAGCCCAAGGTCTAGCGAATGCTTCACTACTGTAAGCGAGGGAAGGAAATTTTGGAATTTAACTNGAAAAAAACGTGTATAATTCTTGTATAATGTTAAAAAATTAACCGTTACTTTGGTAGCATCATTTACAACTAAATTTAATGAATGAGAGAGATGCACCAGGTATAGAAAAAGCTCTAGAATTTATTTTCCTTAAATTTTCGATTTATATATCCGTTTGTCATAAAAATTTGTCTTTCCATTTTTCCCGAGACTACAAATATTCGAGTACAAAGTAACTGGTTTCGACTTATTTCTACTTAAGAAGTAGTTAAATAATTAAGCGATTATTGAATTGGGGACACAAAACCCTGATGAAAGAGCCGAGATTTTACTTAAACAAAAGCCTAACCGAACCAATCTCTAGCCGAGTACAGTGGGAGTGATTTCTTCGAAATATTAGATGTAATAAAGACGACGAGAGTGGCCGAAAAGTTGTAAATTTTGGAAATTTCCGTGGACAACACCTGGGGCCATATTCTGGTCACTATCTCTGGTCTCTCGTCTCTCACAAGCCAGTCGCTGATTGGCTAATCATTTGGATTAGCCAATCAGCGACCGGCTTGCGAGAGNTAACATAACATTATATTTTTTTTAATTTATTTTAAAATATAAACAAAATAATAAATAATTTATGTAAATTGATCTTTCTTTTAATTAAATTTTAGATTGTGGAAGGATATTGGAAATGGAATCAGATTCATTTGCATCATATATCAGCCTTTTATATTGGAGTTTATGGAATGTGGAATCTTTATATTTTCATGCAGATGTTTTTATATTCCCAATATGTTGTTTTCCAATAGAAACCTATGAGAAAAGTTTTCAAAGTTTTCAAAATAATAAAAATTAATATATGCATCTTTAATTTTCTGATTTTACACTCTCATAATATTGTGTCTTTTGTTTTTGCTGCTTGGCGGCATGCATCTCCGTGGCCGCTTGTGCAGTATAATATTCAAAAACAAACTTTCCTGCACCCTATTAGCTATCTTGCTGTTTGTTACGTCGGACTCAACTCAGCCACTTCAGACTAAATATACAACATGTAATTTTTTAAGTACTATAATTTCGTATCAACACTTTACTGCGGTATATAGGCCTACTCCTCACTTCCAAACACTTTCTAGTATACCGATTAGAATTAGTGCCGTGGTATTAAAGTATCCGGGCGGACTTTTCAAACATGTTTAACTTAAGGTTTTACCTTTGTAAAAAAGTCGTATTTATATTTATATGTATTTTAAACTATGTTAAAATGTCCGGCGGACACTTTAGCATGCGTGTTAATATGTCGATCTTGTGTAAATGTATCTTCCCTGGAAAAGTAGCTTTGGTTTTGGAACAAAACGTTTAGTCTATACATTATGAAGTCAAAAATAGTAATGGATATAAAGTATAATTTCGACAGAGAGATAAACAAAGAAGATTTATGGTTTTGTTAAATTTGATTCGCATATGTTTTCTCTCTGTTCTCAACTGTAAAAAACATCGAAACAAGTAAACAAATAGGAAGATAACCATTCTCATTCAGATCAGAAGGACGTAAAAATAAGCTTCTCCTAATGACAAAAAAAATCCTTCTTATTGGTTAGAAGCTGACAATCAACGACAACAAAAAAAAATTGAAATTTGAGAAAGAGTCGGAGAAACAGGAATAGAAAATAATACTCTGAACACTAAGATGTCAGATACTGGGCAAGTCCGCTGAGATAGCGAAATGTCATATTCCTCCGGAAAGGACTCTTATATACGAGTTAAGCCTGAGATCGGATAAAAAGTGCAGATAGAGCCAATCCACGACCCAGAAATTCTCAAGGAGACATCCGATTTCCGATTGTTTCAGACCATCCCTGACTGTTACAGTGTTAAGCTGTGTACATTTCCTGTAAATAAATTGTATATACATAATTGACATGAGTGTAGAGGTGTATTTCCAATGAACCTGCATTTCTAACATCTCGAGCCGTGCTATTTAATAAATCAGCTTAAGGAAACGAAAGTTACAGAGAAATCTTTCGAGAGCTAAAGGAGCAGACTTTTTAGGAGCTGATTAAACGTGATAGAATAGTAGAATATTTAACAGGTGAGACATGTCCATTTTGTGTCAGTGATAACGAAAAGAGAAAAGAATATCAGATTTCAGGCTAGATCTCAGGTTCGTCTTAAAAAATAACAGAATATATTCTTAACTATTATAAAACGACAAAAAGCTTTATTTTGAGGATAGGGATGAGTTATTAAAAATTGTAAATGCTAATAACGAATAAAGTCGAAGTCCGACCCTACTGGAGATACACACGGCCCGCATTATCCCCCCATCCCCTCGACCTTCAACCCCAAAATTTATTAGTATCAATCCCCCTAATAAACAAACCACCCTGAAAAATTTCAGTAATTTTGGACAAATAGCACAGGAGTTAGTAAGCTTCAAAGAGGGTTAACAAAATCGTGCCCTATACACTAACATTCATACGTACAGAAATAACCCGAAATTTTTTTGAATTTTTCGACGTTTAAAGGTGTCCTGAGTCAAAAAATGGAAAAATCTTAAGGAGTCATTGACCGATTGCCGTACTTTCCCTCTGTTATATATAACAACCAGGAAAGTAAAATTAAATTTTGGTACTATTAATATGACTTTGAAAAAAGCTACACTATCATTCAATACAGTATTATCATTTTATATTGAAATTATCGAATGTTAGTCAAATATAAATGTTTTCCTTTGTTATTTCAATAGAAAACATAGAACATGAAATTCGGCAAATGAGATTCGGAAAAACACTGATAAGCGAATTTAATAGAGAGGTTGAGGCGCACGTATTTAGCCCAAAACGTGTACGGGTAANAAATTATCGAATGTTAGTCAAATATAAATGTTTTCCTTTGTTATTTCAATAGAAAACATAGAACATGAAATTCGGCAAATGAGATTCGGAAAAACACTGATAAGACAATTTAATATTCTGATATCTCATGTTGAAAATTAATCAATAAATCGTTTCTTATTTCTTAAACTCTTTCCACTCTGCAGGGCCACCAGTGGCCAAGCGGTCTTCATATCCTGAACACTGGGATTTCGGTCCGGAACACTGGTTCGCGCCTTATTCGGACGGGCTGGCCACATGGAGTTTTCCGGGTTTTCTCCACGTCTGTAACGCCGAAATAGAAGCCAGTCTCCCTTAAAAAGACCTTCCGAAAAGTATCTCCCTAGGCAGATCGCCCAAGTGTTGCGTTGCCATAACTTAATTAACAGACATCGTATGTTTGTTTATGAAATTAGTCATAAATAATTAAATGAAAAATCGCGGTTCTCGTATAATATTTTAACAACGTAAATTTTGTTTTCAACCCACAAATTATTTTCTAAAACACGAGAGATTTTTTTGTTTGTTTGTTTTTAGACTGAGCAATTCATATTTATCTCAAAATTTTCATTAAATTGCTAGAAAGGAGTTAAAATAGAATGTACTCGTGTTCCCTTCCTAATTCTTCGGAACATCTGATTCAGAACACTAATAACGGTTCGATGTTTAGTTCCATTTCTCTGTCTCAATCAGAACTGGAACTTAGGAACTTCTTTCATAGCCATTTCCGGTGCACGTGTAGCGCAAAATTCTTTGGATCTAAGTTGAAGATCACGTGCTTTTTGAAACTATGCATCTAGTACCGTTGCAACTTTTCTGAAAAAGTTTCGTTTTTTTTACCATGGGGATTGAGTCTTCCACTTTTGTAGAACCGAATTGTGTGGACCGAAAGAGGATGATGGAGTTTCTTCGTTGTCNAATCTTAGGGAGTCATTGACCGATTGCCGTACTTTCCCTCTGTTATATATAACAACCAGGAAAGTAAAATTAAATTTTGGTACTATTAATATGACTTCGAAAAAAGCTACACTATAATTCAATATTATCATTTTATATTAAAATTATCGAATGTTAGTCAAATATAAATGTTTTCCTTTGTTATTTCAATAGAAAACATAGAACATGAAATTCGGTAAATGAGATTCGGAAAAACACTGATAAGCGAATTTAATAGAGAGGTTGAGGCGCACGTATTTAGCCCAAAACGTATACAGCTAAAGGGTGAACGCCGCCATCTGGCAGTTCTGGACCGTCGATAATGGCGTTTGCTACGTGTAGCTTGGTGAGTACACGATCGGCTTAAACGTCTTCATTTTTTTCTGTTTGGAGTTAAAATTATGATTTATTTTGCTTCCGCCATTTTTTAAACTTATTTCCCGTGAGTCAATGCGCTATGTTCACTGAGTCACGTGATGTTATGAACGTGTGCCTCAACGATTTTTACTTGGACTTGAAACGTGTAACGTGTACTTCTGCTACCCGTAAGTACACGTTTAACGTTTGAACTTGTGCCTTAACCTCTCTAATATTCTGATATCTTATGTTGAAATTAATCAATAAATCGTTTCTTATTTCTTAAACTCTTTCCACTCTGCAGGACCACCAGTGGCCAAGCGGTTTTCATACCCTGAACACTGGGCTTTCGGTCGTGGGTCGCGCCTTACTCGGACGGGCTGGCCACATGGAGTTTTCCGAGTTTTCTTCACGTCTGTAACGCCGAAATAGGGGCCAGTTTTCCTTAAAAACACCTTCCGAAAAGCATCTCCCTAGGCAGATCGCCCAAGTGTTGCGTTGCCATAACTTAATTAATAACAAACAGACATCACATGTTTGTTTATAAAATTAATTTCAAATAATTAAATGAACAATCGCGGTTCTCGAATAATATTTTAACAACGTAAATTTTGTTTTCAACCCACAAATTATTTTCTAAAACATGAGAGATTATTTTTGTTTTTAGACTGAGCAATTCATATTTATCTCAAATTTTTCATTAAATTGCTAGAAAGAAGTTAAAATAGAATGTACTCGTGTTCCCTTCCGAATTATTCGGAACGTCTGATTCAGAACACTGATAACGGTTCGATGTTTAGTTCCATTCCTTTGTGTCAATCAGAACTGGAACTTAGGAACTTCTTTCATAGCCATTTCCGGTGCACGTGTAGCGTAAAATTCTCTGGATCTAAGTTGAAGATCACGTGCTTTTCGAAACTATGCATCTAGTTCCGTTGCAACTTTTCTGAAAAAGTTTCGTTTTTTTTTACCATGGGGATTGAGTCTTCCATTTTTGTAGAACCGAATTGTGTGGACCGAAAGAGGATGATGGAGTTTCTTCGTTGTCTTTACGGCTGTGACTTCCGGAGCGCTGTCTCTTGAACAAGTAACAGTTTTCTGTCATCGGTTTTCCCATGCAGATTACCGCAAATCAATGTCACGCAGTTCAAAATGACGCTTCTGTAACTTCCGTTTGATATGGTCAAAGTCTATTCGCAGTCTCAACTGTGACAGGTATAATCATCATGTACGCGAAAAATAGGAAAATTTTTCTAATACTTTGACTATGTAAATTACAGTGGCGTGCCGTCATTAGAAGCGGAGGAAGCGCCGCTTTCCTTGTATTTTATAAAAGATAAATATAGTGATGCCTCGTATAACGTACTGTACTTAATCCGTTCCAGGTGCACGTCCGTTAAGTGAAAAGTCCGTTATACGAAACGCATTTTTCCATAGAAATACATGTTAAAACATATAATTCGTTCCGCAGCATAAAATAACCGTACTGTACCATGAAAAAAATGAAAATGGAGCAGTCACCAATTATGCCGGGTAGTCAGTTGTTGTGAGGAAGAGGTGGAGGAACACTTACTTCACACATTCATACAGATACAGACTTTTTACACANGTCTCAACTGTGACAGGTATAATCATCATGTACGCGAAAAATAGGAAAATTTTTCTAACACTTTGACTATGTAAATTAGTGTTTACATCAATGTTTTGATCGCGACAAAATTGCTTTTCGATTAGCACAAATCAAATAGAAGATTCTTTTTGAGAGGCGATCAAATCCTCATTCTCTCTAGGACTGACAAACTGACAATTTTCTCTCATCTATCCCAAGTTTGAGAAAATTTTTGGGAGGCGGTTGACCGAAATGATAAGTCGCTTTCCCGACATCACACTCTTCCATTAATTAATGTAGGCTCAATCGTGAGCGCTTCGTGAGGCATAGACGGAACGGTTACACGAAACAAAAACAGTACTGTTGTTCCCTTTCAAAATACACAAAGCTCATATTGATTTGAGTTCCGATTCACGACAATTTTAACATTTATAAGCGCGCTTTTTGCATATAATTTTTATTTTCAGAAAACGTGAATTCTATTAAAATTAACATTCGCTTTTTGTTTCTATGATAATCTCTTCTATCCAGAGAGAAAGTTCATCATTTATACAGTTCGCAAAAACGGACCGATAAAAAATAAAGAATAGAAAACGGTAATCGCTTGTAATCTTGATCTTGGATTGAAGTTGCTATACTATAATTATTTCCGCGATTGATAATCTGCTTGCCCTGGGTCTGCCTTGGGACTGGGCAAAGCTGATGTGAAGGACGAACAGACCCTTAAATGTTTGATTTAATGCCCGGTTTAGAAATACAGATGTAATACTGATTACACAGTACATCTGTATTTCTAAAAAAAAAGAGTAAAAATGGAAGATTCGCCTTACGTGATTACT